CAACAGTTTATTATTTATTTTATTAGGTTTATATACCGCCTTACTCCCGAAGGACTCAGTTGAAGGAATCACACCCAAAACCTAAAGACTATTTTGTCTGGAAGCAAGTGTGTTTTAATTAGTGCAATGAATTAATGAATTAAATCAGTCAAGCATGACTGGAACAAAATCCTTCTGCAGAACCTCTAATGTTCTAGATTACTATTGGCCCTCCCCAGCCATTTTCTCCAGGAAAAAATGCACACAAGAAGATCAGATACTATCACTCTTTCAAAGTACCATATTAAGGCTGCAAATCTATCGCAAGCATGAACCTATGGGAGAATTACCCTGACTTTAGAATAAAGCTGTCGCTAAGCGATACGGCTCTTTTTTTCCTCCTCATTGGTATGTTTTGCAAGAAACCCCTTCAAACACTCTGAACAACCTACTTTGTGTTTTCAAAAACAACCCACAATGATTGAGGGTTCATCTACTTAATGATTTAATACATCATAAAGACAGAGGCAAAAATGAAAAGGCTGAAGTCAGACAGGATCTCAGCCTGTTTGGCTTCTTTGGTTTTCTGTTGTTGGCCAAATCAAGCTAATGGAGAGTAAATACATCCTAAAGAAATCCACTCATCACTTTAATGCAGAAAATCATCTTCCTTCCAATTATCACATAGGCAAGAAAACATTATTCCCAATACCTAAATCTCATAAATGAGAGACCTCTTGAGAATTTCAGAACACCTAAAAGAAGGGAAGGACAACCCTTTTCTGGATTGCATCCCCAAAATTACAGTACATGGACATGCTGGGAACATCATCAGGATTTAGTGAAGACTTTAAAGTTTAGCAATATCCCATGCAAAAAAAGACAACTAGATGATAACAATACAACCAAACACCTAACTGCATCCTATAGAAGTATTTTGTTGGTCCCTCACAAAATATAAGACTCTTAAAATAAATCACAAGTTTTTATTAGACAAAAGTGGAAGTGAAAGCTCCCTAGGAGCCAGAGAAAGAGCAGCAATTTTTTTTAATCAAGGGGGCTCCTGAGAAAATCATCATCACATCTCAAAATGGAATGCTAATATAGCTTTTATGTTAGTATAAATTAACAAATAATATCGCTTCTCTTATGGATAGTGAAGCAATTACAATAGTGGGGGAAATTTTGTGTTTGGCCTAAACAGCTGCATCTGAACCAAGCTGATCTAGAAGTATGCTGTTATTAATTACTTTTCTGGGTCAACCAGTAAACTCTTGAAATAGAGAAGGTGAAGGTATTCTCCAGGTGTCTTGCATTACCATTCCCATAATCCCCAGCCTGCCAGGACTATGCTGGGTCAACATCTGATAGCTCAAATCCAATATTTCTGGAGAACATCACAGATTGGTGAAGGCGGCAAAGATCGCTTTAGTTACAAGGAAGTGGGAAAAAGGGTGGATCTTCTATCTCTCTCGTGAGCCGTCTCAGCTTTCCAGAGATGACACACGCACACACCCCGGCATCAAAGATGAGTGGCCATTCTGCAGTCCAAGCCGGAAGCATTTTTCTACAATCCAGAAATGGCACGAGGGTGATGGAGAAAGTCCAGTTCTCAAACAGAGTCCTAACTTCCCCACCACTCGGAAGAGTGGAAAATGGGAGATACAGTGGAGGATCTCCTCTAAAATAATTCCCGAAAAGACACACCGGAGCCGAAAGATCGCTTCCGGCAGAAGCCCCTATCATTAAGTGGCTCCCCGTTCGCCCCACGCCCCACAGCAGCTACTAATCCAACCACGTTCACCCTTCCCGGCAAGCAGGTGGCCGCCGCAACCCTGGAGTTGTGCGTCTGAGGCGCTTAGAAGTTAGCTCGATCTTGCAATAATTAAAGGAAAAAGACGGAAAGGCTAAACTCTCCAAACCCGAACGATAGATCTTCAGAAGAGAGCCCGGAGATCGGGCCCAAAAACACAAGGGTTGTTGACAGTAACAGTAACAGAGTTGGAAGGGATCCTGGAGGTCATCTAGTCCAACCCCCTGCTCACGCAGTAGACCTGTACTAGGGATTCGAACCGCCAGACAGACCAAGCTGGGAAGCGAAGAACCAAATGCGTATCCACTTTGCAGAACAGCACAGGGGCTTCCCAATTACTCTGCGAAAGCTCTCAACAGACAGCTCCCAGCGAGTTGTGGGAATAGGGTGAGACTTGGAGAGGAGACCGAATCCTGCTTCTCAGAGGATGAGACAGAAGAACCAAAGGAAAACTAAAGCTTCTGCTTTCTTCTGCACCTTAATCCTCTGTGCAGCCAGAGATGCACAGAGCCCCCCCCTCCCCCATTGAGCACCTCTTACAAGGGATGTGTAAGTTCTTGAATTTTCCTTTGTTCACTCACTGTATACCATGGAGGCATAGTAGCATCATCAAAAAGTGGGAAGGCATTATTAAGATGCTGAGATTTAGTTATTTATTTCACAGCTCCTGATAATCAGAGTGATTTTTTGATGATAGGTGCCAAAACAAATATCTTTATAGAAAAGCAACAATGCCGTTATGAAATCTGCAGAAAAAATGAGATGTGTGGCTGTCTTATAGTGCTTGCCAGCATCATACTGGCTTCTACACAGCATTTTAGCTGTGCCATGTGGCTAACTGTAACAAATCCGAGGTCACAGCTTTTTTACTTGCAAACACTAGATTTTTCTGCATTTATCTTTCAAACTTGCAGCAAAGTAAGCCATTTCTATGTGTGATATATGAAGGTATCGACTGTAGTCATTTTAAGATGGCTCATCCGTGAGGAAAAGAAACGCTATCGCTACAATCATGGCTGTAAGTCAGTAAAAGATTTGTGTTTTGCATGCATCACTCCACCTCTCCCTCATTATGTCATCAAATGTTTCTACTTTACAGGTGTCCAAACAGGAGAAAAAAAATAGTTAGATTGCTATATGTTCTCCTATATCAACAGATGAATACTAGCTTCCTTATTTTTGAGGAAAAATAGAAAAATAGGGAGCTATACTTGCAGTCAAACAAAGTGAGGGCGAGCATTGATATTTCCAAGCTATTTCACATATAACAAACAATTCAACAATGGGTAGAACTTTCACAACCTATCAGGTATAACACTATATCAAGTTTCACACATGCACTGTATGCTGAAGTACTTAACATGCAAAGCAGTGCCGTAAGAAATATATATAACAATTTTGCACAAGTTTATTGTTTTTATGAGTTACTTCCTAGATTCTCTTCAGAAACCAGAAAAAGATTATAAATATCTTAATAAAAGTCTCTACATTTTTGCACTGGGATAAAAATGAACTTTATAAATTGTTTTGTTGTTGATTCATTTACCCCATATCATCTTCAAGCCTTTATGTGAATAGACTTTTGAAATAAATTTCTAGTTTAAAAATAATGTGGTAATAAAGTACAAATCCAAGCCAGTCAATATTACACAAGTACAACCATATCAAAAGATATACAATATCCATTTGCTTGTGAAAACTGATTCACCACCATACAAGTTAACATTTTTTCCAAGCATTAAAACATCTTTTGACTTCCTTTTCTGATCCTATTTCAGAAGATTTGATTATACTGATTCATTTGCATTAAAATATTTTAGCAGGGGATGTTCTATGATGACAACAGCTAGCAAAAACACTTCTCTTTGCTAGCACACAGAAACAATATTAAATGGGACAATTTACTCTTCTCCATTCTATCCTTACTTTTAAATCTTTGCTGTATACATATCTTAGTAACTCTCTGCAACTATCTAATTTATTTCCAGTGAATAATGTTATTATACTACGGAAAACAATAAATGTTCAGAAAATTAAATTTGGGGCATGGTGGGAGGATTTTAACTGATTTCTAATTCAGGTGATAATGCAATTTCTGCAGAAAATACAAATGATTCAAATCCAACAGGACTGTGAATGTATCATAGTCTTATTGATAAAAACTTTACTTTTGAAAAAGATTTAAAATTAAAATTCACTGGAATGTGTATTTCCTTTGAACCAGTATTACAGATAGTCCTTGTTTCATATCCACTCCTTCAGTGACCATTTGAAGTCACAGTAGCATTGAACAAGAGGCACTTGTGACAAGTCCTAATAATTGTCATAGGATTTGCGCTATGATGGCAACTGGGATTGTTGGAAATGCAATCATAAGTTGGCGTGGTCCACATGACATCATGCCATGATCCTGTCACTTAGCAGTGAAGTAATTAAATTGTTACATACTGAATATTAATATTTTGAGCACTGAGTCTATTGTAGGCACAGCCAACACAACAGTGTTAAGGGATGCAGTGCTAAAGAGCCACTGTACATGAATGTTGCCTCACTTCTTCACAGGTTGGAGCAAGCATATATAGCCATACCTAACAAAATCTTCACTGTTGAGTACCAATAATTTTACAACTGTGATTTTTGTGTTAAAGCAGCTCCTTCCATTCTATTTAAGGCTGTTTGGCATAGGCTTCTCATAATGACATCTATCAGAAAATTAATAATCATATTCATATGGCGCGTTACCTATTTGAATCTTCATGTTATTAGCATGTTGAATACAGAAACATTTTGCCTACTTTTTTCCACATGAGCTAGCATGTTTCTGATTTGATGGAGGTTTCCAAATACTGTGTCAAGAGTATCATAATGAAGTTTGTTGATTATTCAAACTGACTTCTTAAAAATAGTGATATCAGTTCTGCCACATTCCTTTCCAAAAGTTTATTGAGCAGAGAGGATACAAAGCAACAGAATATGCTGTCGGCATCTCTCTGTCTCTCTCTCTCTCCTTCACCACCACTTCTTTCCCCCAAAAAAGTCTTAAATTTATCCTATCAAGGATCAGAGGTCATGCATTAAAAAGAAGATAGTCTTGCTTTTCAATCCCACCCAACCTTTCCAACTACAAATAGGATGATGTATGCTACATTATCAACAGAAAGGCTGCCTGAAAATTCTACTGTTCTTCAAAACACAGGAAAACAAAGAGTGCGTGCATGCCCTTTTATTATAGGTTTAACTTTGGGTGAGCATGCTGATGAAATATGTGAAGGTTGAGGGAAATTGTCTATCATCGATATAAATAATCAGCTTGGATATTAGCAGCAATCTCAGCTTCCCACTTGTCCCCATTGTTGAGCAGCTTCTCTTTGTTGTATAGGAGCTCTTCGTGTGTCTCAGTGGAGAATTCAAAATTGGGGCCCTGCAGAGAAAGAGCAAAGAGATGTAGAAAAATCAAATCCAGACTGACATCTTAGTTAACAAAATCACCCACCCACTACCTCATTCACCTCCACAATGGCATCAACAGGACAGGCTTCCTGGCAAAATCCACAGTAGATACATTTGGTCATGTCAATGTCGTAGCGAGTGGTCCTGCGGCTACCATCAGCTCGAGTCTCGGCCTCAATAGTGATTGCCTGTTGAGAGAAAGGATTCTCAGAATCAGGAGAGCACCCTGAGATTATTCAAAGTTTAGCTGCAAAATGGTAAAATCCTAGCAGTGGGATTTCAGGCAGGAGGGTGTTGCCTCCCAGAGACCTCCTACTCCCACCCCGGCTTAAAAATTCCCCACAAAAATTGACTACTCCTTTTCCAGTAATAACACTGGATGTTCCTGAAGATAATTTCCGTGGGTTGCAAACGCAACCCACGGAAATTATCAAATCCTGCTTTAACTCCAGTTTTTGAAGTCCCCAAGCTGAAATTTATCCATGCTATATTTGGAATGAAGGACCTGAATCAAAGACATGCAACACTTAAGAAAACTAGAGCGGGATAGAGTTTTGTAAATAGCACAGAAGAGAAGGAATTCTTGAAGACAAAAGTGCTTTCACTACAGCCAACAGAATTTTAGCATTAGAGGGAACATCCATTCCTAAATAATTTTCCCTTAGCGCTAAAGGAAAATCCATGGTTTTAGCATTAACTCTAGAACTGTATGCATGTGTGAAGCAATCAGATGATGATATAATTTGGGCTAAACTACATTAATAAAAAACGCATTGTTTTAATTCTCAGGGCCTGGTGGCTCAGCAGACTAAAAGCATTGTGATTAACACCGTCTGCAATTACTGTAAGTTCGAATCTCACCAGGCTCAAGGTTGACTCAGCCTTCCATCCTAAGGTAGGTTAAATGAGGACCAGATTGTGGAGGCAATAAGCTGACTTTGTATAAAATATACAAAAGTATGAAGGCTATTGCTTAACGCATTGTAAGCCGCCCTGAGTCTCCGGAGAAGGGCGGCATATAAATCAATTTTTTAATTTTTTTTTAAAAAAAATTGTTAACAGCTTGTGAATGGAATTCTGCAGCGAGAGACATATTCCTATACAGATTCACTGAGATCTCAGAAACACTTCACATGTACATTGTTACATCCAGACTTCACTGAATTCCCTGCAACTTACTTGATCTTTATTGGACTTCTGGGAATACACTTCCAGGAGGGAACTTCAATTACCTACCAGGCTGGAAAATATTAGAGCACCGGCTTTAGGAAGCTATTCAGAGCTTCATCTAGTTCCTTCCTGCTGCAAGGACAGTATCTTCCATCATACAAAAGAGAAAAGAAGGTGCAGCCATAGAGAAGCCACTAGGCCCATTGTATGGCAGCTCTTTAACCCAACGTACAATTTTCATCTGTAGTATGTAACCAGTAGCTAGGAATGAAATGCTTTTTGCACAGAATTTTGCAATATTTTGGAAACAGTTTATTAAAGCAGCACATGTGGGAAAAGAAGGAAAAAGTTGAAAAAAGAGGCTTCACCTGAGCGGGGCATACAGCTTCACACAGCTTGCAAGCAATGCATCGCTCCTCTCCAGATGGGTATCTGCGCAGGGCATGCTCTCCACGGAATCGGGGACTCAATGGGCCTTTCTCAAAAGGATAGTTGATAGTGGCAGGCTCTCGAAATACATAACTCATGGTCGTAGCTAAACCTAATGTTCAAATGGAGCACAATCACATCCTTGGTTTAAATAAGCCGTAGAAGGGCAAAACTGGTGCCCTTAGAAGGCAGGGACTGCAATTTCGTACTCTCAATCATTTACCACATGAGATGAATGTGAACTGGAATCCAATTTATCTAAGAACACAAGGTTGCCAAACTCTGAAATGCACCATGCATCTCATCCTCAAGATTTACACAAGTCAGGAATCAAATGTATATAAAAATCTCACTAGGAACATTTTAGGATTTGAATAACAATTCTTGTAGGTTTCCAGCTTCAAAGTAAGTAGGGTGAAGATCTGTTCTCTCTTGTTCAAAAATACAGAAACCAAATAAGCTTTGGAAGCCATATTAGGCCAGAAGCTTCCATGCTGCCACTAAATGTACAGGAAAGGAAATTCCAGCTGAACGATAGGAAAAATATTTACAGTAAGAGAGGTTCAAAGAGGAGCCAGCTACCCTCAGAAATGGAGGCCTCCCTCTTAGCTGGATAGGGAAGCTAGACAGGGATTTGTTATGGTTACTTTAATTCGGATTCCTACATGAAAGAGAGGGTTAGACTAAATTGCAATTACTCCTTGTAGTATAGTTTTATAATGTACAGATGTTTTCTGTCTATTAGGAGTTGTCTTCAAATGCCCATTCCAATTAATAAAAACAAAATAATTTACAGATTAAAACCCTTTTTCTCAACCTCAGCAACTTTGAGATGTGTGGATTTCTCAGCATTCTCAGGCCAGCAAGTAGGGCCTAGGAAAAGACAGTAAATGATATATCCAACTGTTAGGCTGCAAGGACTATAGGAAGCAAAATAGGAGGAAGCAACTACCGTGTTTTCCCGAAAATAAGACCCCGTCTTATATTTTTTTGAACCCTGAAATAAGCGCTTGGCCTTATTGCCATGCCCTCAAAAGCCCAATTGGGCTTATTATCACAGGATGTCTTATTTTGGGGAAAACAGGGTAACTTCCTGTGGGTAAACTGTTTTATGTCACTTCAGCTAGCGCTCAGAAATAACTGCCATCCCTTTTCTCATTATTTCTCACCTCGAATAAGTTCTGTCCACAAGAGAGTCTGTGCAGCTTTGTCAGTGACCGATTTCCAGTCTGTTGGCTCCTCCTTTGCATTCACATACTCTGCAGCAAAACAAAAATGAGGAGGGAATTGTTGCCATTCCGATACCACAGAAGCATTTTATAGAAAAGAAACAATAAAGAGACATGGTTAACCTAGCAAGAATTGTTAAAACAAGAACATGGAGATCATAAGATAAAACCAACTGACCAGCTGGTTGCAGGTGGATTTAGCTTTCAATGGTTTTTGTGTGTACAATTAAGAGAAAGATTGAATGTAGACAATAGAACATTTGGAACTGAGCAACAGAAAACAGAATTTGAAATTGAAATTGAAATGCAAAGATGAACATGTAATTGCCAAACTCCTCAACTCTTGCTGAAATTTGAAATGGAGGATAAACAAGTAAATGTATGATAAAATAGGCAAATAATTTTGGACATAGCATACTGTTGGAACAGTAGGAAAACATGGTTGGAAAGACTGAAATTCACATGTTATAACCTATAAGAGTGTTATAATACAGTGTACACCTATACACTGTTGGCATATGACTCCAGAAAAATTATCCAGAATTCATAAAGATACTTCAAATTTATGTTAGAAATGTGGACATACACGAAGAGCCATTTTTTTCATGCTTGGTGGACTTGTAAAAAACAAAACAGTAAACTTTGGGTTCAATACATGTATTTAAAGATTAAAATTTAACTGAAACCAGAACTATTTTTTGTTGGGATTAATGGACAATTAGAAAAAAGATTATTTTTACATATAAACACTACTGAGAGGCAAGTATATGCACAAAAATGGAAAGAAGCCAAAATACCTCCACAGAGGAATGGTTGGTGAAGATGACAGATCTAGTACAGATGACAAAATTAACTTGTTTGCATCGAAAAAGATCAACTGCTATATTTATTAGCAACTGGAAACCCTTTATAGAGTTTTTGCTGAAGAAAGAAAAAAAATGAAGTGACGACTTATGGATTTGATGATTAGAAAGGGTAGATTACAGAAAAAAAGAAGCCTTTGATGTTACCTCAGAGAGGGTAAAATATAAATGTACATATAATTGCTATTAAGAAGACCAGAAGCCTCTTTTTTATTCTTATTTTTCCCCTTCCTTTTTTTTTTGCCTAATTGTTTCTTTTTCATTTTATATTAACTTTCTCCCTTATCTTTAACTTAAAATTTGTATTGTTCCTAAATAAGAAAAAAACTTCTTTAATGAAATTTATACATTACATACATATAAAATATATCATTATAGAAAGATGACCACGCTAATAAAGGATTTACTATGGAAACTGCACAAACAGGAGGATAGGTCTCAATGTTCTTAGGAAAAGTAAAACTTGCAAAGCAACATTGTCCATGCCCAAGAACACTGGTAACTATTTCCTTGCCTGTCCTATTCCCAGCAGAATCCATGAATTATGTTAGTAATGATGACTTCACAAGTTGCACAGTATGATTTTCTGGGCAGTAGATCTCACTGAGAAAGACTGTCCAAATTAAATCCTATGTTCCCCAAGCGGAATGTAGTAACATTGATATCCTCTGTAGAATATGACTTTCAAATGTTTTCAATTATCTTGTGTTAGTAATTGCTACTTTCCTACAGTGACCCCTACTTAAAGTTTTGTGGATCAGATGATGCACTTACTATAAGAAGCCCTGGAAGTTGTGCTGCTGAGATGTCGGGTAATATTCAGGCACATCGGAATCCCTGAAGAGTAAAAGCAATGTTATTTTGAAGCAAAAATAGAAATACTCATCCCAGAAGCCCCAAAGCAGGAATTTTCCAACCCACGTCCCCTCTTGATATTGCTTTTTAAAAATTTTGAACAAACTCTTTCTAGAGCATCCATATAGATAAGCAGTTGTCTGGCAGCTATAAGCAACAAGAACAACAAATAGCAGAAGAAATTCTGTTGACTAAACTGGCTAGACCATGCAAAGAACTAATTGGGCTGCCAGAGGAAGAATGTTCCCTCTATTTCCAGGAGAAACCAAACAGCTCGTCATCCCGTTCGTCAATCCAAATCACAACTAATACAGGTAGTCCTCAACTTACACAAATATTCATTTAGTGACCTTACGAATCACAATGGCAATGGCAATTCTGGGCTCAGTTGTGATCGTAAGTCGAGGACTACCTTATTATGATGACCAGGATCATTTGCAAACAAGCATAATATAATTAGACCAATAGACTCTTTGAAGAGAAGAATATTTAGTACCTGTGTTTACAGGCAACTTATTAGGCATTGGGATAAATGACAAATGACTAATACCATACTAAGCGCCAATTAAATCAGTGTGATTTACAGAACAAGCCACAACTGGTAAGTTTTACACACTGCAATAGGTTATAAAAATGGTTTACAAGTCGCAATAGCTGTGGTCACAAATTACATCAAAATCAAAGAAACTGTATTACAGTTTAGCACAATGCAAGAATCCAGTCAGTCTGGCACGTCATGCCTATACTGCATCCTTATTATGTCCCCTTTATACTCTTCCTGTAAATACAGGGCACAGCTATAATATCTGAATTCACAAATGCATTTTAAAATTAAAGTTTTGTGAAACTTCTACTATAAGCTCTACCTTCATAAAGGGAATGTCATAAAATTAGCAAAAGCACCTGGCAGAGAAAATATTCTAAGGTGGATGCTGGAAAACAATATGAACTAAATTCCCACTTCATCAACCAATGATTTCCACAATATATGCAAACATACACAATTACACAGTACTTTCTCTTTGCACTCTTATGTGACTGCTGTCAGCTTAACTTAAATATCAGCAAAGAAGTCATCTAATATATTATTTCAAGAGACGCAAATTTCAAAGAAACTGTTCAAAATCCAACAACAATCTATTATCACCTATTTCAAGACTTCTATTTAATTCCACAAGGATGATATAAAGTTAAAGTCAGTAATAGAACCTGAATAAAAATTTATACCTTGTTAGATCCTGATTAATCATTATTTAGGGGAAAAATTCAAGGGAAATAAGTTCATCTTATTGGATGACATTGCCACCGTTGACTCAGATCCAGGTACTTTAATAACTTTCATCATGAGTATCCTGTCTCCAAATGGAGACATGGTTTCCATTGTTCAAAGTAAGAAACATATAGGACAACTCCATCCCCAAGATGTAATATAATTGGAAGAAATTCAACAACCCTGAAATAACTAGAAAATTCCCACCTACGTATGTTATGGAAGTCAACTATCATTGCTTCATAGTGGTGGTGAAGTAGTAATCAAGACTGCAGTTTACTGAGCGGTCTGTCTTTCAGAGATCTAATTACCTGGAAAATGCAGTTAATTATATGAATAAGTATGAATAAGATTTTGTGAGTTTCTAGGTCAGGGGTGTCACACTCACGTTGTCACAGCGGTGTCACGTGACGTATTGGGACTTTTTTCTCCCTTTGCTAAACCTGGCGTGGGCATGGCCAGCACATGACACATCCGGCCCATGAGCTGGGAGTTTAACAGCCCTGTTCTAGGTAAAAACCAGTGTAGTTGGATTAGAGGACCCAGGATCAAGTATCTACTTGACCATAGCCTTCACCTAGTGACTTTGGACCAGTCAGACTCATTCTCCCAATTCATCTCGCAAGAGAATGTCACTATAATTCCCAGATAGCTTTTAGCAAAAATAAGAGATTAAGTTGCATGTAGTTTCTTACTGCAATCTATAAAGCATGTTCAGCATAAATGGCATTTTCTGAAGAAACTCTGCAACGCTGCTTACCTGTCTGGGAAACCTGACGCACCATCCAGAGGACATGCATTTTCAGCTTGAGTCTAGGACTCCTCTACAAAAAATAGCAAGGTAAAAAAAAAAAAAAAGTTTAAAAAAACTTAAAACCAAACCGGTCCACTGGTTATTATAGAAGTCCATTAAATATCATAAAATGCCCTAAAGAATGAGCATGCTTGCAAGTTCAGCAAAACTCAGATGAGGTAGGTGCTAAACAATTTTTTTTTAATTATTATTATTATTTATTCAATTTATATACCGCCCTTCTCCTATTGGACTCAGGGCGGTGCACAGCCAAAGATAAAAAACATACCAATACAAAATTTAAAATCAATTAAAAGAATTATATATATTTTGGGGGGGAGAGAGAAAAGATAGAAACCTAAATACATTCAACTAAAAATAACTTTGAGCCTTGTGGGGCAATATTTCAAGTTCACAACACAGGGTTACTCGACTATTTACCCTTGACCATTTATCCATGAATAACGTGGTCCTTGGATTTAAATCTTGACTTTTTTCCTCTGTGAAAGTGTCTCTGAGTCAGCTTGTCAAAAGCTCCTAAAATAAGTAGGATTTTATTGATGGTTGTGGCTTTCTCAGCTGCTGGGGGTGAGGGTGGTCGTGTGGGAACATGCACCAAAAATACCAAAAACAGGACAAGGCTGATCCCATTTTGAAAATACAAAAGAGCTGAAAACATGGAAATCGCACCAGAAGCTATTCGGAATCCCCAAGTCAAAGGCCCGGGGCAACCCAACCACAATGCAAACACGGGGCCATGTTTTGTGCAGGGCGCTGCTTACATTCAGAGAACCAAGGAGGGAAGCGCAGAGAGTTTCAAAGCCACAAGACTCCGCAGACAAGAACCGTCCCTTCTAACACTTCGGACGGCTAAACTCCATCGAACGTCAGACGAACAACGGCGCGCGTGCGCAAATCGCTTCGCGGTGACCACTTTCGTCTGAAAATCTCGCCAGGAGCTTGCGCTATCGCCAAGCCTAAGTAACGCATGCGCATTTCTACGTCCTCAGGGCACTCTTGAAGGTCCCAGAGACAGACGCTGCTACGCTTCTCCCTCCCTCCCCCCACCCACCCAGGACTGTTCTCTCAGCGGAAGAATTTCCGGCCGCCACGGAAAGCCAAGCAGGACATAAAACATCAAGAACGCAAAAACAGTGTTATCAACCACAGTTCTGCTCAGTGCCGCCGACAAGCGGCAAGAATAACTGAAACCAATTACCACTTGGCTGAAAAGGCATTGGTTGAAAATGACCCGCGAGAGGCAGGATGTCTCCTACGCGCTTTGGTAGAACGCTCGGAAACCTCCCAATATTTGGGGGCGGGGAAAAGATGAAGTGCCGCCGGTTGGGACGGAGACTAAGTCATTGATTGGCTGAATCACTGTATCATTGATCCACGATCCTGCGTGGATTGGTAGATGTAACTTATCGGGAAGATTCGTAGAATATTGGTTCGGTGGTGCTAGTAGTAGTCCTTATCTCTTTCATAATGCTTAGGTTGCTCATTTTAGTTACCATTTCCGTGTAAACCACTTATTATTTGTAGTTATCACCGGCTTCATAATTCCCAGGATACCCGTAATCATATTGTCTGGATCGTTTTTTGCCCCCATCCCAATATTTAAATCGGTTTGCGCTGCTAAAGTTCTGCGAAATAGTAGCTTTGGCTCACTTTATCCGTCACAAGGTGAAATCTGTACACTTCGTTTCTACCAAAGCAAATGTATGTCGTACGACCTTTTGTAAAAGCGTTGTGTAAGCGTTACTCAAGCACCCAGGACACGGTTATCTTTTTAAAAGGTAATTGGACTTTCTTGGTTTTTCCTTGAAAACGTTTTGCTTCTCATCCAAGAAGCTTTAGCTTCTGGCTGAACAGTGGGGAATGGAAGGATTTATATTCTTTGCAGTCATCTGATTGTTAGCTCTCTGAGTGGTAGAAGACGTTTGGGGGTTTATCTCTATCCTCAGGGTTACCTGAATGAGTGCAAATGGGTGTGGAGCCTTCTGAAAGGGCTGTTGTAAACAAGAGATGGATGGTGTCATATTGAGAGATGATTGCTCGGTTTTAACATAGATGGCCTCTTTGACCCTCTTTCAAACTGGTGGTCCTCTCTATCCAAGAATGTGGACTTTGCAAATTACTCAAAAGAGTAACTTGTCTTTCAGAGGCAGATGGACTGCTCAATCTTGTCCTGATGAGTTTGTTCTCCTGTATTGCACCATTTGTTTGCTGAACTTTTAACTCCTTTTTCAATTCTATGTTCTCAGCAATTTTTCATTACAGATAGTCCTCGAGTTACAAATGTAATGGAGCCTGCCCATTCCATTTGTAACCCGAGAATTCGTGGGAGTGAATCTCGTACCTTGAGCGTACCTCCTTTCGCCCACACATTTGCTAATCATTAAGTGCACTTTCAGGGTGGGGAAGGCTATGGGGGGCCTAGTGATGCTTAAGCCACCCAAGACCTCCCAGACCCACTGAAATACCTCATGCTCCCAATTGCTTCCCCCCCTGTATCATGTGTACTGGCACATGATAATTTTTACAACGTTCCAGTGAAAAACTTTGTTGAGTGTGTTATGTCATTGCTCATAACCATTTTGTGAATCACCCTAAAGATATATCTCCAAGCCCATATTTTTCATTTCCGACCCCCAATTCTACCTTCCACTGCTTTACTATTTTTTCCATAAACATTCTAATGTGTTTATTGACACCAGTTGTTTCCAAACATTTGATGATACAGTTACGTGGCAATGAATCAAACACCTTTTTATAATTAATTCGGACCATATATAAATTGATTCTTCGCATTTTGCAATTCTCGCAAAACATTTTATCACTCAGAAGTTGATATTTTGTATGTCTGGTTTTTCTTTTATTTCCTTTTAACCAGTCGCTGATGTCTCCTTATACAATTTACTTCATTAAGCTCTTACCCCAGCTAATTGGGTAAACTACTCAGATATTTGACTCAAAAGCCATGCAGTCGATCATTTCCAGATGTCCACTTTTTAATCCCTTTCATTTGATTTTTAACCATTTCTTTGGTTATTAGTTCTTTCATTTGATTTATGCTAAATACATCTATATTCATTATTTTATCCATCTAGCATTTTTATTATAATCTTTTTGAGGTTCCGATAGAGCTTTTTAAAATGAAATATTTCCTTTTTGTTTTGTTTCTCATTTTTATAATTTCTATTGCCATTTATATTTTAGTAGAATCACCTCAGGTTTGATTGAAATAGCTGGCTTTCCTGACGTTGGATTATGCGTGCTTCATAGCAGTCAGTTTTCCCAGCTATGACTCTTATTTTTTGCTTTAGGATTTCCAAAGCTTCTTCAATTTTTCTTCTGCTCATCCATATTTTTTAGTTAGGCTTGCCCTGAGCCTTACATTCTTCAATTTCTGTTCTTTCATGGTCTTTAAATTATTTGAATCTGATCTTAATTTCTCTATCTTGGTCTCAAGTCTGATCATCTACTTGATCAGGGATTGAATATGATGTTGCTTTTGGTTTTCTAATTTTGATATTTAGTTCTTCTGTAACCACTTCTGCTGTATTTTAGGCAAGCTGACTGGTCTGTTTGATAGATGTTACTTTAATGCTTGCAAGTACTTTGCAAGCACTTTCACATCCTTCATTATAGGTGTCTGATCTTTTTTGGCACTACGTTCAATGCTGGCAATCTTTCTCGTTCTACTAGTAATTCTGCATTTGCAGAATTTTAATTTTCTCTTTTAATTCTTCTTGTCAGGGCCACTTCAAAGGTTGTTTCAGTTCTGGCCTATTCTGGTTCTGTTATTACTTCTATCCTTTATATATGCAATTGTTATCTAAGTTTCTTCTACTATTCTATAATTGTTTTGGGGGTCTTCCCTTTTCCTTTTTTTCTGAGTCTCTTCCAATTCTGATTCCCTTTTCTGTTCGGTAATGAATCTCCTTTGATCTGCTGATTTTTGTTCAGGCAATAACCAGTCTAGTATAGGATTCTTTTTCCGATTTCTTACCATAATAAGTGGGTTGATGGATATACTTAGTCTTGCTCTTCTGCTAAGACTTGTCTGACCTGGGTTATACTTTTGGTTGAATATGCTACTGTAATCATAGCTCTCAACTCATCAGAGCATCTTAAGGATTTGAGCTCCATTTTTGCAACCTGCCAAAAGAATTCATCTCCCCTCAGCAGGCAGCTCTTTCAGTCAGCCTCCCAGAGGCAAGAGGGATTCCTTTTGGCAGGCAGCAGCAGTAGCTTGAAATCTGTCCTGCCAACTTCCCCACTGACTTTCTATGGAAGCTCGCAGACAAGACTGCAGATCACATCACAGACACCGTGGTAACTGGTTATAAGAGCAAACAGGTTGCCAAGCATCCAGATTACAATCATGTGACCATGGGAATGGTAGTGCAATATTTTGTGATGTCCAGAAGTACTTTAGAGGCCCTTTCCGAGGTTGTCATAATTCTGGACTCTTGTTAAATGAGCAGTTGTAAGTCGAGAACATAATCTTTGGTAATGACACATGTGCCTATGAAAGGAACCATATTTTGGAATATATTTCAAATTGCAACACCTTTGATGGGAGAGACAAGAACAACATTTTCTCAGGATGCCAAAATGTAGAAAACATGAAGAAATATAATTGAAACTTATGCCACAATGTATAATAACGTTTCCCCCCCCTCTCTTTCCACCCATCTCGCCAAAGGCGACCCTTTATATAAACTAATAATCTGGAATAGCTGAATTAAATTTGAATAAAAAGCGCTATACTGATTTGTAAAGCTAAAATATTATCCAACTATAAAATGAGATTATATAGATATGAATAGTAATATTATTATGTATTACCTGGTGTTGGTTTTGCATACTGTGCTCATTGTCTTATATCCCAGGACATAGCTTTCATCTAATTTAGCCTTTTTATCTTTTTTATATTCTTTATTCCTTCTTATATATTTACATTTTTGTCTTAAGCCAAGATGATTTAAGAATCTGTATGTGATCTGAGCAGTGCATTGTAAGATCTACCCCAACAGATTAACCAACTAATTAAATTTGTATCTCTCAATAAGTGTTCATCAGTACTGATAAATGTCTGAATGCCTCTAGTAACAGATGGATAGTTGCTGCAAAAAACAAAAACAAAAAAGGGAATGCATTCTGGTTGGAGATACTGTACCTGTAGAAGGCATATGTTATGACATTATTCATTCTACTAATGCAGTGTTTCACAACCTCCACGAATTTAAGCTGAGTGAATTTCAATTCCCAGAATTTCTCTAGTTAACATACTTATTGAGGAAATTATTGGTAGAGTTGAACTCTACCCAGTTTAAACATGTAAAGGTTGGAAAATACTGTACCGATGTATCTCAAATGAAAGGATGCATCATTGTCAATCATTGTTAATAAATGATTCTATAATCATTGTTTACAGAACATTTTGTTATTCCCTGAAAACTCTTTGTATCCATTCAAGAAACACAAGTCTATCTGATTATGATTTACTTGCAACTTTAAAATACCATGATGCTCTTTATTTTTATTGTAGCAAATTGCTTACACCTTCACTTCACTAAATATTTCACTTGAGTATTTATTCTTTAAACTCTGTTGCCTTTGTTTCCTGATATCTACATTTCAATCAAAAGCTCCTGCTATAGGAATTAATTTTTAATTTTATTAGGTTTTTATTAATTTTATTAATAGTATTATATTAGGTAATTCACTATGTCAATTGATAGCACTATTAAATAATTAGTCAACTATCTGCATGGTTTGATTCAAGATCTTTATTACAGAAGGAAAACATTTGCTTGAAAATGCAAAGCTGCAGGAAATCTCAATAAGATTGCAATCTTCAACAAAATTAAATGGAAGTAAGTCTCTGAAATTGATAGGACATACTGTATTTTAAATTATTATGATTGGGCTGGGTAGTGTAGTAATCACTAATGGCATAAAGAATCTGATGTCAACCATTCCATGTTGGAGAGAAGGTTTACCTCTCTACCAAATACTTAAAGCTAAAACTAGGCCCCAAGTTTTTAGGGCTGTTCGCAGAGGTGGGCTGCTACTGGTTTGCACCAGTTCCAGATGTTAATTTTCTGAGCAGTTCAGAGAAGCAGTTGATGGAAGAAATCTTTTCCCACTTTACAGGGCTAATCCTGCAAGGGAGGCAGCAAGGAAACATTCTGGTATGCCTGTATTTCTAGCCTAATCCTTACCTTAATTACCCTGCTGCTTTAAGTGTTTTCAGAAACTGTCTCTGGGTTAAGCTTGTTACATTGTAAACCTTACTCCTAGTCTTTCTGTCTGTAGACTGAGCTTCTCTGGAGTTCCCCCCACCCCCTGGAGTTTTTTGTGGTACTTTTATTCCTGGGGCTTGACTTTCTTAAAGATTGTTAAAGGGTTGTTTTAAGCTTTTTGGAGCATACTTCCAATACAGTTGGAACAGCTATTTACAGAAGGGTTGGCATAGCCATAAAAGAAATGGCTGAGGATGCAAGCTTGGAATGCTGATTTTTTTACTGCCTTTCTGGGGGCATGTGAGCTTTCCTTAAATCTGGATGATTACCTTAGGATATCTTGTGAGGTGAATGAGACCAGCTGGTATCTTTAAGTGGTGCAAATGGATCTAATGATTGCTTCTCCTGGGTGGGAAACTCTGCTTTGTCAGTTCACTGAGCACAGGAGTCTTTTGTCTATGGGGATTCTTCAGTCATCCAGGTCATGGTTGTCCTAAAGGTGCTTTTTTCAAGAGGCAACTGGATTTTCTTGGTTTCCAGAAAGTCCAGTTGCCTCTTGAAAAAGCACCTTTGGGACAGGAATCTCTTGCATTGCTTCGGAGTGGGCAAGGCACATGATTGCTCACTGATAATAAGTGGATCCTCCTTCCAATTTGTTTTAGTTTTCTCTCATGATAATATGGCATAGTAACATGGCATCAATTGTAGAAAGTTAGCACCCACCCCTCTCCTAGAAGAATGAAATATTTTGAGAAATATTAAAAAGGAAGAATATATTTCCCTGAATGAGAAATGAAGAAACATGTTTTCTTAGAGGGACAAGGCAGCCCCTTAATAGCCCACAGAAGATGTCAGCACTTAAGAGATAAAGAGATAGCTATATTCATAGGCAAAAATTCCCTGCAGCAAGGTCTGAACAAAGGCAGAATGGGATTAACCCTAACTCAAGATGTTAATTTGTCTCTTTAGCTCTGCATTTTGTAGCCCAAATATGCCCACCCACTTTCTGGAGAGCTTAAGTGATCTCTCTGCTAAAGAGTTTCACTTTATGAGCAAGAGTAACTTGGCTGCTGATAGTTAGCCTTGTATTTTAACTATTTTAATTCCTCAATGTGCTCTGGCAACCTGCCTGATTTGTAATTCTGGGTTGCAGGTATTCATGAGGAAAAGGAAGGTATTCAGACAGAATGGTTTAGGTTTCCATGATGGCTCATTGATCTTCAGTGTGTATTTCCCCCATTTCTAATATAATGAAAGGTATTTAGGGCAGCTTTTTGCAAACAAAGAAGCTTTTTGTAGTTTTGCATAGATAATCCTTGAGTCTTTGGAGAAAGGCGGCATACAAGTTGAACAAATAAATAAATAAAATCCTTGACTTACAACAGTCCGTTTAGTGACTATTCAAAGTTACAAGGGCACTGAAAAAAAGTGACTTATGACCATTTTTCGCACTTACAGCCGTTGCAGCATCCCCACGATCATGAGAGGGTGGGCGAGGCAAAACATCCCTCAACATAAGTGACATCAAGTTGGCCTCATCCACCCAGCCAGTCATTAGGCCAGAGAACCAGTTGTTAAAAAATTTGCAGCCCACCACTGGCCATTCCCCATTGTGAGAATCATTAACCCGGTCACAGTGAAATTGAAACTTCCCCACCTTCTGGGGAAGGTACACCCAGTTTTCCATAGTAGCCTACTGAAACCGGTGGTAGGTTCTGAGCTAAGGCGGGCAGCTCGGGTGGCCCTAGGTACCATAGTGATGGAAGGGGAGACTCATTACGAGGTAAAGCGAATCCTAGATTCCAGGCTGTATAAGGACAATACGTGGTTCAATGGAAAGGAGACCTTCTATCATCAGGATATTGAAAGAAATATAATTAAAGGTGGCATGTCTGAGCTTTAGAGCATCACAATATAGAAAATGCATTGTCAACAGAATATGTTTATGTGCAATAACATGTATTACATCAGCTTTGAATTTCTTTAAGTTGTTTAATGAATCCAATGTTTAAATATCCACTAGGAAATACTTGATCATTTTACAAAGACCATCCATGCTTCTACCCTTATTGGACAACTATATAAATCAGAATGATTGCTCCACTGTAAAGAGGAGCTGTACTTGTCCATTTTTAACAAAGAATATGATGCTTCTAGATTTTTTAAGCAGAATTAATTTTATGTGTTAAAGGCAAGATGAAATTTTGTATGTAAATGTTAATTATATAAATAGTCCTTGCTGGAATTGAGAACATGTTGTATATCCAACAACGGTGCAAAGAGAATTGAAGGGTCCCTAAGTTTTCTAACCACTGCTAAATGTTGAATTTACTAAAGGTTGTATAGGATAAAGAAAAAATGTAAGAAGCAAAGATGGCAAAAATAAGGTTTGTCAGAACAGAGAACGTTTTTCAAGGATCTTTGAAGGTGATGAAGCAAAATTTAAGGACCAGCTGATGAAGGAAAAATATCTCTCAACTCTACAGCAAACTTGTTGGTCAATGTTCCTTAAGAACACAGGTGATGTGATTTAATGCCTTACAACAAAGTGCACATGCCCTTACGCCTGACCTCCGTAGAGGCAACCGCTATTCTCAAATTACTATCATTGTATGGTGGGTAGCGCATTCTGTTGATTGCTTCCAGGCCTATGTAGCGCAAGAGACAGCCACGGAAGTGAGTAAATGTGTCGAAAGTAAATTTGCCGTGGTACTTGCCCAATCCACTGCATCCTGCAATATTAAAAAAAATTCAGATCAAATCTTGCACACACTTGTATTTTAGCTGACAACACAACTTGAGCAGCACTTGTAATTATTTTTGTTCAAGATAGATAATAGCTGCCTTTAAAAAACTTTCTTCATAATACTTACCACAAAAGGTTTTATATTCAATGGATATTGAACAACTACTCTTAAAGAAGAAACTAAAGAAGAGAATCCCATATAGACAAAACTTGGTTAGATAATTTCCTGGCCTACTTTGTTTCATGGTTGGTGAACTACAACTGCCTTAGTCCCCAATAAAATGGAATTATCCATATTAAATCATCATATCAAATGTTGATTTACACAGCATGTTAAGCTGTGTTTAGTGTAATATGTGACCCTATTAAACCAGAGTTGTTTATATTTTGATATTGTTAGCATCACTTACAAAGTTAAAATAATGAGCCTCCTCCCTTTAACACCTGCTTTCCAGTATAATGTAGACCAGGATACTTTCTGCTCTCTCGTTTTATTTATAGATGAGATAATCTGTCATCCCTTAGGTCCATGATGGCGAACCTATGGCATGCGTGCCACAGGTGGCACGTGTAGCCATATCAGTGGGCACGCCAGCTCAGCTCTGGCGTGCATGCGCGCGCTGGCCATCTAATTTTTGGGCCTTCTGGGCCCACCAGAAGTAGGGAAACAGGCTGTTTCCTGCCTCCGGAAGGTCTGGGGGTGGTGGGGAAGGCCCATTTTTCTTTCTCACCTGGCTCCAGATCCTCTATGCATTTGTGGAGGGCGAAAACAGCCTCCCCCCCTGCCTCGGAGGCCCTCTGGAGGCCTGAAACAGCCCATTTCCCAACTCCTGGTGGGTCAGCAAAAAATGTCATTTCCTGTCCAACCGGGAGTTGGGAAATGGGCTGCTTCAGGCCTCCGGAGTGGGTGGAGAAGGCTGTTTTCGCCCTCCCCAGATGCATAGAGAGGATCTGGAGCAGGTGAGAAAGAAAAATGGGCCATCATGTGCCAGGAGCGGGGGGGGAAGGGGGGTTGCACGCACACGCACAGGATGGGATGCATAGAATTATAGATGTGGGCACGCGCATGCATGAATCTCCCCCACCTCTCCCTCCTGGCACGCGATGGCAAAAAGGTTAGCCATTGCTTTAGGACATCCTTTCAGTGATGTTTCCTTAACGGATACCTCAATGTCTTCAAAAGTTGGCACAGCTTCTAATAAACTGCTTTTATTGAAAACAGCTGGGATACATTCAGAGAACTATCTGCCTTGAAAATAGCCCACGTTGAACTGTATAGCACAATCAAGCATCAGTACCAAAAGTGTTTTATGACATTTTGTATTATATCCTAAGCTGTTTTATAATAATTGTATGTCATAAAATGGTTTTATTTAATTTGCCAAATTTCAATATCACTGGAGTCCTGAATTCCAGATTATAGACGCATTCTGTAAATTAACCCATTTGAGTCAAAAAGTATGTCCTATGATTGGTGCACTGTTTTGCCCAGTTAAAGGTTACATGAATCAAGTTTTGGTAGTATATTGACAACCACCTAGCTTATAGCATAAAGGGGAATTTACTATTCGAGCAATTTGTTTTAACCTGCAAATGGTTTAAAATTAACTTTTAACATTTTTTGTCTTTAGTCTGATGAAAAACATCATCAAGAGGGAGTACTTGTCTGTTGAAAGGGAAGGATAAGGATAAAGGTAAGAAATAAAGATAACATAGAAAACTAATCTTACCAACGCCACCAAATGGTAGGGAAATCAATGATACTTGCAACAAGGTATCATTACCACAAAAGCCACCACTAGTAGTACGGTCCAGTACCTCATTCACAACCTATAAAGAGAAAAAGAATAGAAGAGTATTAGGAGTCCCATCCTTAATCTTCCAGACAAGAGTTTGATCAGATCCCAGCTCTATAATAATAAGTGTCACGATACCAACGAGAGTCTTTAACCTTTGGGCCACTACAAACATTTGGAATGTTGAAAATGTGCCACAGACACACTCACAAAATGGCTAATATTGTAGATGTAGTCAATTAGCAATTGGAAGGCAGAAATAAAGATTATCTATGAATCTTAGTAAAATAGTTGAAAGATTGAAAATGCAAATGACCCTTTTTTGGATTCACACACCCTGTTTTCTACTCCCATGCTCTATTCATACAGAGCCAAGAGCAATGAATGGAAATAAAAATGACAAGTTTGGTTAATATAATCAATGCCCTTTCTCCAGCAAGAGCTTTACAGCATACAGGTAGTCCTCAATTACAAAGCATTCATTTAGTGACCGTTCAAAGTTACAGTCACACTGAAAAAAGTGACATGACTGGTTTTCACTCCCATGGTTATGTATCAAAATTTAGGCAACTGGCATGTTAAGAGCCGTGGTGGTGCAGTGGTTAGAATGCAGTATTGCAAGCTAATTCATCTCACTGCCTGGAGTTTGATTCCCACCAGGCTCAAGGTTGATTCAGTTTTCCATCCTTCCGAGGTAGGTAAAATGAGGACCCATATTGTTGGGGGCAATATGTAGGGTTGCCAGGTCTGCTTCCAAAAAATAGCGGACAAGCGGAGGGGGGGGTGTTAAGTAGTAAAAAAAAATTTAAAAAATTTACAATTAAATTATATATTTTCTTACAAACATTTTAACACGCCATTTTAGGTCAGTCGACACAAGCTACAATACATTTTAAAAATGTGAACTGTACATAATTTTATAATATATTTTTATTTTAACCTCATCATTAATTTTTTCGGAGAATCGAGTTCAATGGATATTCGATCTTTGTCTCATTCTAACTTATGAAAAAAAAGACAAAACGCGATTCTCCTATCCTTATTCTCTTAGACTGTACAGCTTTAGATTACGTACCATTTCATCATAAAGCTTTTGAATAAAAAAAATGTCCACTATTTTGTGAAAAAAAATAGTGAACATAATGTGAAAAAAGTGGACTGTCCACTCAAATAGTGGACACCTGGCAACCCTAGAATATGCTGACTTTGTAAACTGCTTAGAGGGGGCTGTAAAGCACTGTGAAGCCGTATATAAGTCTAAATGCTATTGCTATCGCTATTTATGACAGTTGCAGTGTCCCGAGGTCATGTGATCACCACTTGTAACCTTCCCATCTGGCTTCCAAGCAGCAAAGGCAGATTCATTTAATGAATGCATGATTCACTTAACAACTGCAGTGATTTGCTTAACAACTGTGGCAAACAAGGTCATAAAATATGGCAAAACCCACTTAAAACTGCTTTGCTTAGCAACAGAAATTTTGGGCTGTATTGTAGTCGTAAGTCGAGCAGTACTTGTACACTCAGGAGTTTGTCTCAACTTCTCTTCCCAGATAAAGGGAAAAGTTGTATTTTTAAAATGCAAAGGCAGAATTCTGGGTTACAGAACAAGAAATGTCAGTGTCTGAATTTGGGGGGAGGAAATGGAGGATGCCATCTCCCCACCACCTCTGACAAATAGCTGAAATTACCTTCAAGAGGTTGCAGGAGGCTCAGGGACAGAAAAAAAAGAGGACTTGCTTCAAGATTCAGATTGTTAGCAATAGGTGACTGCTATGGTTAGAGATTATGCTAATTTTTAAGTTCTTCTTTCTCTGTGTATTAGAAAACTTATTCCTATTTCTCTGGAAAGTTACGGCATTCTGTGTAATTTGGGAGTGAGTTGAATTTTTTTTCTTCTCTTTTCTAATTTCCTGGGACCTGATGCAGAACTTGAAAACTGTCTTCTCCCAAGCTTACTAATTACAGCAGACAACCACAATCTTGTGGTCTGTCAAGAGCTTGGTGTGCATTTTGTAAATTGGATGCTATATATATCCTAGCTTTTTGAAAAATAAAGTTTGATTATCACTTGCAAAATTGATTTGTCTTCAGAAGAAGAAGAATAGGCTGAACTAATTAGTCACATGACTTTATGCTACAAGGACAGGGTGGCATATTACAGAAATCATTTCATTTTTTTTCCTGCTATTTATTTGCCCGAAGGACAATACATGTTATGGGAGCCTCTCTCTTTCCCAGACCAAGGATGGAGTGAAACTCCTTTAGAAAATAGTAAGGACACAAATAATTATCAAACAACTGCAATCCTGGAAGGAAGGGCAGAATGTATAAACCTAGCAGGCTTCTGGGAGAGGACATTTGAAACCGGAGGAGAATATATAATAAGTCTATCCACAATCTATAACCTGTACACCACCTCAAAAACAAACCCAGTAATATAGTTGCCCTCACACAGTATAACCCCCCAGTTGCTCTCCTGAATATGTGGTGAGATGAAGTCAGAGTTCAAACTCCTTTTATGATTTGCATAATCTTGTCCTTTTTAGGACTGGATTTTCAGTGTAGTTACATGGTTGTATTTTAATTTAGCCACAGCTCTTCTTCTGGGAGTTGGAAATTACATAACATATTTAGAAAAGTTCTGGTCAGAAGGAAAGTGACCTCTCAATAATTCTATGTATCAAACTTTTTAAAACATCACATTATTTCAAAGAAGAGAAGTGCCTTACGCACTTGTGCACAGTGCAAGGAAGAGGCTACCATGCACTTTGTACAAAGTCTTGATTTTTGGGTGTCAATGGGAATATTGATCCAGAAAACCCACATTTGATCTACATCAAGGCACAGAAGTCAGCAGTTACACAGGAAAGGGACATCTGGGTCAATGGGAATCCAGGAGATTGCCAGCCTGCAATCCACATGTGCCCCGGAATGTCTAGATAGGAGCTCTTGTGGTACAATAGAAGGGAAAACATTACTATCCATACTAGAACAACTTTATGGGTTATGGGAAATAATCCAGATTCTCCCAGATACAGTATGCTGTATCTTAAACAATATACCTTGTTATCACAGGAAAAGGCATACACAGCTAGTGGGCGAGGTCTGGAATTGATGAAATGTATGGCCTCCTCCATATCCCCCACATTGAATATTGGCAGGATGGGCCCAAGAACTTCCTCTTGCATGATTGGCATCCATTCCTTCACATCTGCCATCACGGTTGGAGCTGTAATGGGCAAAAGATCACATCAAGACTTATTCTATTTATATACCATAACTTTATTTTGGAGAGCTTTAGCTTTCCCCAGGACTTCACTTCCAATATGCAAACCCAGAAAAATTTAAACAGACTTTCCCAGTCTGAGACTTGCAAGATCAGAGAATCATGAGGCTGGAAGGGTCCTTGAAGGTCTTCTAGTTCAACTCCTTGCCCATGGTGAGGAATCCTTATACCATCCTGGACAAATGGATGTCCAATCTTTTCTTGAAAACTTCCAGGGCTGAAGCATCCACAACTCCAGGAGGCAAGCTGTTCCATTGGTTAATTGCTCTCATGATCAGGACATTTCTTCTTTAAATATCTCCTTAACAAGCTTCTGCCCATTGCTCCTTGTCCATTTTCCTGCCTAGGTGCAGGACTCTGCTTTTCTCACTACTGAATTCCATCTTACTGGAGAGGGCATGTTGCTCTATTCTGTCAAGATACTTCTGAATCTTCCAAATGAGCTCCCCTTCTATCTCCTTCATCTAGATCATTAATAAAGATGTTGAGCAATAGGCCCAAGACGGAATCCTGAGGTATCCCCATTGCATGTTTCTCTCCATTTATTTATTATTTATTACATTTATGTGCTGCTCATTTAGACATTGTTACATTGAGGGATACAGGCTGAATGTGGTGATCAGCCAATTGCAAATCTATCTGGTTCTGTCTGTCCCAAGTTGTTCTATCTTACCAAGAAATAGACTACGATCTACTTTGCCAAATGCCTTCCTGAAGTCTAAGCACACTATATCCACAGCATTTCCTTGATCCACTAATTTAGTCACTTTATCAAAGAAGGCAATAAGGTTTATTTGGCACAATCTGTTTTTAACAAACCCATGCTGGCTTCTCTTGATTGCTTTGTTCATTTCTTGGTGCTCACAAATGCTCTGATTATCTTTTCTAGGATTTTCCCAAGTAATGATGTCAAGCTGATTTCCATTTTTTTCCTTTTTTTGAAAATTGGAACCATATCAACTCTTTTCCAGTCCTCTGGTCCTTCCCCAATACTCTAGGAGCTCTGAAAGATTTTGTTCAGTAATTCTGAGATCACATCTACTAGCTCTTTTAGAATCCTGGGATGTAAACCATTTGGTCCTTGAGATTTGAACTCAGCTAAAGTGGAGACGTGTTATTTTACTAATTTTTTTGCCTATTTTGACCTGCTTTCCTGTTTTCACAGTGCTATTTTTTTCCCTTTACATGAAGATATTACAAAGAAGGAATTAAGTAGTTTCACTTTCTCCCTGCTGCCCATAACCATCTTGTTTGAAAGAAACCTTTGTTATATTTGACATTTATTGCAAGTGTTAGTTCATTTGGAGCCTTAGCTTTCCTGACTCCATCCTTGCAGATTTGGGCTGTTCGCTGATATTCTGTTCTAGTTATGAGCCCCTCTTTCCATTTACTTGTCCTTTTCATCCCTCAGTTTGTCAGAGAGCTCTTTATGCAAACATGCTGGTTTTGTCTGGGGTCTTTTTTCTTTCTTTCTCTGTAGTGTTGTGTTTGATTGGACTTTAATAATCTCATTTTTCAGAGTTTGTTAGTTTGTTGAAAGTAGCTTTCTTGGACTTTAACTTTCAAAATGTGAAGCCTGTGTGGCCAGTGACAGTCCAACACATTTGGTAAGCATCAACTTGGGAGGTTGATCTAAATCAAAACTATTAACCATACATTCTTAATAAGCTTGATTAATTGATTGATTAAATTGTATAAAAGCAGACACATCCCTAGAAGCCAAGATCATAACACTATGTCTGATTTACTTTGGCCATGTTATGCGTGCAAATTCATTGGAGAAGGCAGTGGTGCTAGGAATGGTTAGTGGGCAAAGAGGAAGGGGCAAACTAAGAATATGCTGGATTGAATATGCTACATGAGCCTGTAGTACAGTGGACTAAAAGCACTGTTATTAACACCAGCTGTCTGCAATTACTGTAAGTTCGAATCTCACCAGGCTCAAGGTTGACTCAGCCTTCCATCCTTTCAAAGGTAGGTGAAATGAGGACCCAGATTGTGGGGGCAATAAACTGACTTTGTATAAATATACAAAAAGTATGAAGGCTATTGCTTAACGCATTGTAAGCCACCCTGAGTCTCCGGAGAAGGGCGGCATATAAATTAAAAGAAAAGAAAAAGAAAGAAAGAAAGATTGATAACATCAAATCTGATGCAAAGTTGAACATACAACAATTGAATGAAATGGTGCTTGACAAGGTCACATGGAAACCACTTGCCTATAAAGTCACCGAGAGTCGGACACGATTAATTGGTTAAAAACAACAACGATTGATTATGTACCATAAGTCATTTTCAACTCCTAGTGAACACACAGATTTCTCTAAAAGCTTACTAGATAGTGTTCATGAAATGTCTTCCTGTCTTTCCCAAACTCCAAATCTTCCCTCTTATTCTTCCTCCAGTTCTAAGCTGTATACTCACCAATATAACGCTCACACTCATCGGTCTCTCCACCAATGGCCACCCGGCCACATTCCAGCAAAGCTTGGGCACGCTTGAAATGCCTGTCATTGACCATGCGGCCAAAATCAGCTGACTGTTTGGGTTCATTTCCAAAGAATTCACAGATAGCTTGGCGCAAGCAAGGCATCAACTTCTCCTGTGTTTCAAGTGTACAGATCACATAATCTGGTGCAATGCATGTCTGTCCAGCATTGAGAAATTTCCCCCAAACAATTCGGTTGGCTGCATTCTGAAAATGGCAGCATTTATCCACGTAACAGGGACTTTTACCCCCCAGCTCCAGAGTCAGTGGTGTCACATGTTTTGCTGCAGCAGTCATGATGATCTTCCCTACACGGACACTCCCTATAAAGAAATGGCAAAATTTGGGTCAAAAGACATACTCAGCACAACTCCCATCCAACACTGGGGGCTCAATTCTGTCATCAGATCAGATCAGATCAGCAAAACTCCATGCTGGTTGTTTTAAAAACTCCATGAAATGTTAATAATAATCAACAAGCCAACTCTGCTTAAGCAGTTCCATGTAATGCAAAAATTATTTTCTGATTTAGTAAGAATTTGGAAAATATATTTTAAAAATGGTCAAAACATGGCAGCCTGCGATATCCTATAATGATAATGTTCTGAATAGTTGGCAAATCAGTGATTTACCAGTGTTTAATATAGTGACTCTGCAAGAATTTGTATTGTATAAACTTGAAATCTACAAATGTTCCTGTCATTTCTTGATAAAAATAAATAAATCAATACTGCATTAAAAAGAGCTAATTGAAAGAAATATCACGGAATAATTATGTAAATTTATAAAAGTACTGGGATTATCTTCTAGAGCAGGGGTGTCAAACTTGCAGTCACGTGACACACCTGGCCCCCAGGCCGCAAGTTTGACACTCCTAGATCAAATTACAGCTACCATCTGGGTATTTGTTTTCGACATTGCAAATACTATTTCTGGTTTTGATTTTCTTTCAAAGGTTTTATGATTGTTTTAAAAAAAAGGGAAGGAAAAAACAATGTTGTAAATAATCAAAAATGAATAAATGTTGATTTTACTTATCTTTGTCAAAAACAGGTTGTTTGTAATCTTATGTTATAATCACATCATCAAATCTAATAGCCCTAAGCATAGACATGAAGTAACCCATGGCAGCTTTTCAGTTGAGAAAAACCTCCACAGGTTTAGAGACACACTCAATTTCTATTACAATCATTTCAGAAAATCATAGAGAAAGACATGATAAATCATCCATTGAGTCCAACCTACTAAGTGCAGAGATCCAAAGAGATGGTGGTGTCCAGATGTATTAGCACTCAACATACCCATGTTTACTGTTAAAGCTATTATTTCATGTCCTAACTTCTAGGATGACTAAAAAGTCTTTGTTTTCTACGTGGCATCTTTTCAAGTGCTTGAAGAGTACCATTTTCCCCCTTCACCTTATGTCTTTTCTTTCCTTAGGACTAAAAATTCCCAGTTCAAGTCTATGCCTTTCTTTTTCCAATCCCCCGATCAGGATTGTCTGAACTTATTCCAACAATAGCATCCAGAAGTGGACTCTATGCTCAAGATATGGTCTGACCAATGCAGAATAAAGTTGAATCCCATTTTAGTAACTTGATTGATGCAGACTCAATTTTCCCCTTATTTTCAGTTCATTTCCCTAACTTATTGGTTTCTTTCTGCTGAAATATATATTCCATCCATAAATTCCATTGGCAAATTTGATAATTATTTTATCTATCTCTTCATCCAAGTTATTTAAAAATGTCAATTTAGATGTAGAATGTATGGAGACAGTCCATTAAAATCCCACATCAAACTCTGCTGCCAAACTCCTGTTAAATGTGCAGTTGTTCTTGCTATTACCCTGAGCTGTTCTGGGAATGAAAGGGGAAATACAAATCTTAGTATCTTCTTTGGGAGGAAAAAAGCCAAAGAATTTTCATTATTTTCAAAAGACTGAAAGTTTGCATTAAGCATAGTTTTTTTCCCCCTTACTTAACAGTGTGACAACTCATCTTTTCACTTGTGGGCAACATCTACAATCTAGAAGTTGCTGACAGCCGAAGTTACAAACACCATATACAACAATTTCATTGGGCTACTGATGGAGGACCTATGATGCGTGCCATAGGTGACATGTCGCAATGTTTTGGGTGACAAGCCAGTTTCCACCAACACCCGACAACAATGATTCTTGAAAGCGTGCCCTGTTCTCAAGCAATTTTCAGGGGCTGCAGAGGCCACATGAGAAAGGGATGCGCTCTTGCATAGCCTCCAAGCTTCCCCAGGGAGGACTGCTCTTGTGAAGCTTCCAAAGATTATGTGAGAATGGGGCCAGCTTTAGTGTGAATTTTGGAGCCTTCAGAGGCATAACATTTTCTTAGGCTCCTTCAAGAACAAAGGCTTCCTGAAACCTGGAGCAGCTCAGGTATGTTTCAGGAGCCTATCAACTAAAAGAGAACATCAGCTGAAGGTAAATAGCTCATGGCAGATCCCAGAGAACACTGAGCCACAAGGGCAATCGTGCTGTTCTTGGGAAACAGTGTGAGGCGGCCTTTTTGAGTAGCAGCAGTGGTGTTAGGCTGAAGTCAAGGCCCTGGCCTCGTACTTCAGGTCCAGCCTTGACACTGCCATCAAGAACTGCTATTCATGGAGGCCTGGCTGGGAGGGAGATAATATTTCTCTGATGTTTGGGGGGAGGTATGTGGGTGTGACATGCAGGCACTGTTTATGTTAGGCATTTTCTGAAGTCTTGACACGTCAGCCCCACAAGGGTTGCCATTACTGCCCTGGGTCTAACCTGCCACTGATACAGCTGTATTGCGATAAACATGGTAAAGGTACTTAACTAAGACACATGGCAAATTGCAGCACTATACACAATTTGGTTTAGAGGTATTGCAATTAGCTACAGAGAGGAATTTTACTGGGGGGGGGGGTTGTAAATAATGATCTTAGATAATTAAACAGAACCTTAAAAGTTTCAATAGTTGTACATTAGCTTACCACATAGGTATTTGTGTAGTCATTAATAATCAATTTTTTTTAAAAAAAAAATACTGTTGAAAAGAATAACCTGAAAAAAATATTCAAGAAGGGAAAGTCACCTGTATAGAAGATATAATCAAACTTATTTTCCAGTAATTTTCCTGTTTCTTCAGGACCAGCTGTCACCACAGCAAAGGTTTCCTATAAAATAGAAAAGGAAGTTCACATCCAATCAAACTAGCCTCCACATCACACAAGTGATGTTTTTTGTCCCTGAAACGTTGCAAGGCAAAAAGCCTTTTGGGAGCAATTTGGAGCAAGGAACTGATACATTAAATTGAAAGGAAATTAAGTTTTTCCTTAAAAGTTTTTAATTTTAAAATGGATGATCATTTTTTATTTAGTGAGAGTATGGTAATAGGGACCTTTTTTTTTTCCTATCTAATCTTGGGAATGGAATTGTCCTGCCTTCATAGTAATCTCCTAAATTCATTCTTCCTTTATCTACCCAAAACAGCCTTTTGTTAATGTAACTATATATACTTAGTCTCCTACACAGCACTTGGATTTTAAGAAAAACAGAAAGCATAAAACCTACATCCTAAATAAATTGACACTGCATATCCAACTGTTAACTGTACGTCACCCTTTTGCTGTGGCTGGCTGAGAGTGGACAGCTTTCTTTGTTTTCATTGAAATCAAGAGGCTAGAAAAAGCACAGTGCACTTTGATGCTTCAATTGTAATCCACAGAAGGTTACCACAACCACAGTCTAAAGCAGAGGTCTTCAAACTTGGCAGCTTTAAGATTTGCGGACTCCAACTCCCAGAACTCTTCAGCCAGCTATGCTATGCTGGAGAATTCTGGGAGTTGAAGTCCACAAGTCTTAAAGCTGCCACGTTTGAAGACCTCTGGTCTAAAGGAACATGCATTTTTTTGGAAGGAACTGAGGCAGAAATAAACTCTCCCAACTTCCAAAAACAGATTAAAAATTGTAGATTAGTTCAGATCCAGAGTTTTTCCTCAATGGGCCCAAGGAATTGCCTTCTCATGATTAATTAAGACAAAGGCAGAAGAAAAGACAAATCAAAACCCCTCAGCTTCATTTTGATTTTTTAAAAAAGATAAACTGGCAGTTGAGGAACTCACCGGATCCAGATAACAAGGCAACGCTTCTGCAAGGAGCCTTTCAGTGCAGCTGCTCACCTCTGAAGGCTTGAGAACCACACAATTCCCTAGAATGAGGAGAAAACACTTTACTAAGCTTGCAACAGATAAACATCCACCAATACCTGGATCTCCTGGAAGAACACCCATAAGATCTTATGTCTGAAATGAATTAGGAAATAGCTTCTCACTCACCAGCTGCAATGGCTCCCACAAGGGGCACCAAAGTAAGCTGAAGAGGGAAGTTAAAGGCTCCAATGATCAGCACCACACCATATGGCTCCTTGCGAATGAAGGCACAATCCAGCTGTGTCAGCTACAGAAAAACCAGAACAATTTTTCAGATAGAAAGCCCACCTTCAGTTCGATGAGATAATATATCCTTTCGACTTTCATCCCCATCCAACCTAGAAACATTCCTTTTCATTTGTTCTCCCACCACTCAGCTTCTCTCCTTACTAGGTTCTTGTTCACACTTTCATCCTTCATCCAGTAGTTTAAGTTGTTTAGAGCATTGGCCAGTTCATTTCTCACAAACAAAATCTCCGTGAACTCAGTTTCAAAGCAGGGCTGAGGAGAAGAAAGAGAAAATGAGGTGCATCAGTGATGTCCATACTGAGTTCAGAGGCAAACTATGTAGCAGTTCTTCATTGAGCAAACTTGTTTCTCATTCATGATAAAGTTTTATCATGCCATCATCTCAATTGATTCTTGAAATGTGATATTTGGGTTTTATACCAGGATATGGCACTAAGCTTAGTATTCTAGGTTCTTAAACCTTAATCAGGCAGGAGACTTGCACACAAACTCAACTACAAACAAAACTATATATACTGTAGTTAGATGACTGACTATGCAAAGAAATCAAAGTCTTGATAAGTTTAAAAATTTTCATCCCACTTTTCTGAGATAAAGTACTTGGGTGTACTCTTAATCATTTGTTGACTGCTCAACTTTGTTTACATAATGATTTTCCATAGCCTGAAAGCCAGCTAAATTCAGCTCTCATGGCACATACAGAAAACATTGCTTCCTTTTCATATATTTTTTTCATGGAAAATCTAACAAAGAAAAATAGAATAGCTGTGCCATGTTTATTAACTGGCAAGCAAGCCCTCAAATAATTCCCTCAACACAATCAAACTAGTTACTAAGTCTGCATTACTATTAATCTTCTCATCGTTCTTATCGCCCATCTCCTCCCACTTATGACTGTATGACTGTAATCTTGTTGCTGGTATCCTTACGATTTATATTGATTGTTTCCCTATGACTATCATTAAGTGTTGTACCTTATGATTCTTGACGAATATCTTTTCTTTTATGTACTCTGAGAACGTATGCTCCAAGACAAATTCCTTGTGTGTCCAATCACACTTGGCCAATAAAGAATTCTATTCTATTCTATTCTTCATCTGCAAGTCCCCTCTGAGCTGTCAGGCGCTCTAAATGGATAGCTCACTCACCTTGTGTAGGTCCTCACACATGGCATGCTGGATATCAGCCTGTCTTTCCTCCAGAAAGTGACACAGGGCCTCCAGCTGTGAGACACGATACTCCCTTGGACGCGTCTTTCCTGACATCCAGGCATCACGTAAGGAATCCACTAGGCCAGCATAGGCATTTACACTAGGAGAAAACAAACACTCATAGAATCAAAAGAGATCCCACTCTTTTTATCATTTATGTTAATCCTGATCCCGCAAGGCTGGATGCTCTGTAAGAACTGGATGGATAACCATGTTGTCTTTCTTTACTTTACAGAATCTGGAAATTTCTGCCATGACTCAATACCTTTTTTGGCTTCCCAATACTTAATACAAAGATTTCTACTTCAGACAAGACTCAAAATAATATTTTTCCTTTTCTCCCACACGTGTGTCATTCTTTTTCTAAAGAATGTCATTATTTTGGGTCACAAGCAAGAATAGCTGCTGCCATACTTTTCTCATAGTTTTCTTACAAACTCAGTTGGTGATATTCAGATAATAATCAAAGTTTTTTCTTTCATATAGCAATAGATTCTGACCCTAGCATTTAGATTATTGAGATTGAAATTAGATGTTCTCCATGAACTCCTTCAGCCCTTACATTCTTTGATGTTACTTCAAATAATTCATCTCAGCTTGCCATTTTTCAGGTGTTCAGTGTGAATTTGGGCTTCCAGATCCTGATCACCATCACCATGAAAACTGAATAATTTGCCTGGAGAAGAAATGTACTGAATAAAATGGGACAAACAGGATGGGATAAGACAGGGGTCAGCAACCTTAAACACAAAGAGTCACAAAGGCTCTAACCGGAAGCCCCCAGTTCAATTCTGGAAGTCCGGTTCCCCCCACCATAGCGTTTCGTCCTAGCGTGGCATCCTTTTTCTTCTGCCAACTGGAAGTCCAGTTCCCCCATCATAGAGTCTTCTCCTAGCACACTGTCCTTTTTCCTCTATCTATCCTAGCTGAAAGCCCTATCAATTGTGGAGCTGACTGGCGACAGGGAGCCGGAGCAGAGGGATGAAAGAGCCACATGCAGCTCCAGAGCCAGAGGTTGCCAACCCCTGGGATAAGAAAAGGATCCTTGATCCAGATTTTAATTTAGTTTTTGCTACTGTTCAAATTTTAAAGCAAATTCTTTGGAAAACACTTCCTATTTTAGCAAGATGTCAGTATTTTGTATGTTTTAATTTTTTGGGCAGTGTTGGTGGGGCATGCTAATATATATTATAATTGAATATGGTTCTCCATTCATCCAGTTCCAAGTTTTCATAATATTCTTTTTTAATTACAAAGAGATGCTGAGCCTGGAAGAAAAGATTTGGCCTACTTATGCATTCTGTTTATTTATATATATGGACACTTTTGCCTAAGTCACTTCCTGTTCAAATTACTGTAATAGACTTTACAGAAGACTGCTTTTAAAGACCACTTGAAATTAACAACTAATCCAGAACAGAATGGCATGCACAGTATTGGATGTTCCTAGGTATGCCCATGTTACATCTTTATTGCACAAGCTGCACTGGCTTCCAGTTTCCTTCTGGATGCAATTCAATGTGCTGGTTATCAACTTTAAAGCTCTACATGGCATAGGACATGCTTATTTGCAGGATCACCCTTCCTGAGAGTATCTGCCTGTCTTATTACATCAGAAAGGATAGGCATGCTCAAAGTCCCTTCCCTGAGATATTCATCTAGTGCAGGGCTGTCAAACTCGCGGCCCACGGACCAGATGCGTCATATGCTGGCCATGCCCATGCCCATGCCCAATTTAGGGGGCAAAAGTCCTGATATGTCACATGATACTGCCATGACGACGTGAGTTTGACACCCTGATCTAGTGAATTGTTGAAGGTGTTCCTTTTCCATCACTGCCCCTACCTTATGGAACATCCTAAACCCCCCCCCCATTAATTCAGTAGGCCCCCACCCTTTTAGTTGTTTAGAAGACCATCCAGACCAGGGGTGAAATGCTCCTGGTTCGGACTGGCTCGGGCGAGTAGGTAGCGATGGCGGCGGGCAGTTCAGAGAACCGGTAGCAAAAATCCCTGCCCCTGCCCCCCATGCCCAGCTGAGCCGCGCGATCATCAGAGGCTTTTTTTCTTTTAAATGCCTCTGACGATCCAAGCTCTGACGATCCCAGCTGAGTTGCCTGTTGATCAGGCAACTCAGCTTGGATCGTCAGAGCCATTTAAAAGAAAAAAAGTTTTTTCTTTTAAATGCCTCTGACGATCCAAGCTCTGAAGATCCCAGCTGAGTTGCCTGATCGGCGAGGGTTTTTTAAAAACCCTCTGACGATCAGGCAACTCAGCTGGGATCGTCAGAATCTTTTGAAAGCATTTTTTACATGGTTTTACATGTAAAAAATGGTTTTAAAAGTAAAAAAAAAAAGGCCACGCCCACCCAATCACATTACCCCCACCACCAAGCCACGCCCACAGAACCGGTAGTAACAAATTTTAGATTTCACCACTGATCCAGACCTATTTTTTTTAGCCAGGCACTGGGATAGGACAGAATAAAATAGATGGAATAGAATTGGGGTAATTGGAACTGGCTGGAAAGCATCCGAAGTGTAAGGTGAAAGGTTTTTGCTTTTATTTGACAGTTTTATTGTTTCATGCTTATGTTTTAGAGTTACTGCTATTTGTGAACATCCAAAGTTGTTTAAGACGGGTGAAGTCGTCTAAATAAATAAAACCCCTTTCTGAATGAAAACTGGATCTGCCATAATAAGTCCACCACTTTCCTATAAACCAATTTAAGTTCTCCATAGCATTTTACCTGGAAAACTTCATAATCTTACACTGTGATTTCTCAATATGAATGCTAAACACCTGAACAAAGCTACTTGTCTGTTAAAGAAACAAGAGTGGCAGGAAAGCAGCAGAGTATTTTGGCCAAGGACCAGCAGACTTCAGTACATAGAAACCAACAGACACACATCGGGCTGATGCAGCTCAACTGCTACTCCAAAATAATGACTTCCACAAGAAGTCATTGAACCTTGGGCTGTTGAATCCTATTGGTTTGTTCATGTTGGCTACAAAGTGATACAAAGTACCTTTGAAGTCATCCAGTAATGACAAGTTGCCAAGACATTTGCAGAAAGTTCCTGGACCAACTGCAAGCCCCATGCCCGAAGCTTGCTAGAGTCCCAGGTGTCACCCTGTATTTTCCAAGCTTGGGAACAAAGTCATTTGCTTTGTAACAGGGGAAGTAATTCATCCAGAGGAATACTTAATATAGACAGCAATTACAATGACTTTTTAAAATTCAAGATTTTTTTTCCTAATTTTTCATTCGTTTTCTCAGCTATCCTGATTATTTGTATTTGCCTGACAAAAGTTCTATCCAGTTTACACAATAGGCAGAGAGTAAGGATGGACAATGTTTCCAAGAACAGATAAGCCACGTTGGAAAGAATCAAGGCAGGACCTATTGAATGTTGCCTATAATTATTAATACTTGTTATTAAAAGTACAGACCTCTTTTTATATAGAGACAAGAGATTATATTATCCCACATACTAAATCTAACATATTTCTGTAATGTATAAAATGTGTCTTCTTCATCTTTGCTATCTTCCTGGAAACACAGTTTTAAGTGCTTTCTCTGGATTTGTACATCTTGCAAGTCCATAATGTGATTTTTCAGTTTTGATGTAACAAGTTTTGTGAACTCTGCAAGAAGGGTTTTAAGCAAGTTTAACATGTGTGAACCTTCTCACTATAGTCACCATGATGGTGAACCTATGGCACGAGTGCCCGAAGTGGCACATGGAGTCATGTCACCTGGCACACGCGGCATTGCCCATTCCTCTTCCGGGTTTCTGGCACGCATAAGCACACGCCGATCAGCTGGCCTTTGTGCATGCAGCGGTGCCAGAAACCGGAAGAGCTGGTCTTCCATTTTCCGGCATGAGCATGCGTGCCGGCCAACTGATCGGTTTGTGTGCATGCACAGCAGTAACTGAATGACTTGCTGGCTGGTGCGCATGCGCACATCGGATCCGGAAGTACCTTATCCAGCACACGCATGCCCCCTGGTCAGCTCCTCTGCCTGGTCGCAGCCCTGATGACCATGCACGTGAAGCCCGTGCACACACGCAGTGCTCCCTTTTCGGCACTTGGTGTTGAAAAGGTTTGCCATCATTGCCCTAGACCAGGGGTGAAATGCTCCCAGTTCGGACCGGATCGCCCGATCCGGTAGTGATGGTGGCGGGTGGTTCGGAGAACCGGTAGCAAAAATCCCTGCCCTCCCCCCATGCCCAGCTGAGCCGCGTGCTCATCAGAGGCTTTTATTTTTATTTTTAAAAGCATTTTTTCTACAACCTCTTCAGCCGAAAAAATGCTTTTAAAAGTAAAAAAAAAAAAAAGCCTCTGATGATCGCGCAGCTCAGCTGGGATTGTCAGAGGCTTTTAAAAGCACTTTTTTTACAATCTTTTCGGGCAAAGAGGTTGTAGAAAAAATAGTTTAAAAAAAAAAGTTGGCCACACCCACTCAATCTCATTACCCCCCCACCAAGCCACACCCACAGAACCGGTAGTAACAAATTTTACATTTCACCACTGCCCTAGACCCAGGTGAACATGCTTTTGATTCACCACTGTATATGACATAGTTTCATGCCGTGTATAATTAGTCCTCGATTTATAAGAATTCATTTAGTGACCGTTTGAAGTTACAACAGCACTGAAAAAAGTGACTTATGACCACTTTTCCACACTTACAACCATTATAGCATCCCTAAGGCCACAATCAAAATTCAGATGCTTAGCAACTGACTCATATTTATGATGGTTGCAGTGTCCTGGTCATGTGATCACCTTCTGCAACCTTCTGACCAGCAAAGGAGCCTGAGTGGCGTAGGAGGCTAATGCCTCCTACTAAGGCAGCATTTAACATCCAGCTGCCTGCAATTACTGCGAGTTCAATTCTCACCAGGCTCAAGGTTGACTCAGCCTTCCATCCTTTCTAAGGTGGGTAAAATGAGGACCCGGTTTGTGGGGGCAATAAGCTGACTTTGTATAAAATATACAAAAGTATGAAGGCTATTGTTTAACGCATTGTAAGCCGTCCTGAGTCTCCGGAGAAGGGCGGCATATAAAAAGAAATGAATAAATAAATAAAAAGTCAACAGGGAAGCCAGATTCACTTAACAACCGTGTTACTAATTTGAGAAGTACACTGATTCACTTAACAACTGTGGCAAGAAAAGTTGTTAAATGGGGCAAAACTCACTTAACAGATTTTTCACATAGCAACAGAAACGTTGGGCTCAATTGTGGACGTAAGTCGAGGACTACCTGTACTTACCGGACACTGATTCTCCTGTTTTACCAATAGAATATCACACAAACTGAGCTCAACAGAAAATACAGTGTAGTAATTTGGAGAGATCTCACCTAACCTGTTTTCCTCTGTACCAGTTTCTTACCTATCCGATCCTTTGGATTGGCTGCAAGTGTCCTGCGGTTTGTTGCCCTTTGGATTGGAGCTCCCTGAGGAGCAACTCTCTGTGTTCCTGCTTGAGTTTTCCTGAGGTTGTCTGTTTTCTTGTCTTCTGCTATCTTGCCCTGAAGAGCCACTTTGGCTGGAAGCATCTTGGGGTTTCTGGTTTTGTTGACTGGAACTTTCTGTGCGATTGCAGTGGTTTCTGGTAGCCTGCTGCCCTGAACTCACAGTGCAATCTCTGAAGGGAATGTCGTGGAGTTTGTGTTGAGCCAAAGTAGCACCTCTCTGACTTTGAGATTGCCTGAATCCGTGCTGTCCTGAGCTGCTACTCTGCAGTCTGCCTTGTTGGCTGATACTGTACGTGAACTTGCCCTGAGGTCTGATAATCAGCCTCCCTGAACTCGCAGCGCATTCGTCTTCCAGTGGAATTTCATGAAGTTTGTGTTCAATGAAGGTGGCACCTTGCTGGTCTTCAGATTGCCTGGATATATTCTGAACTTTGCCCCAGTTTCCTTGAAATACACCTTGCACTATTTCTCCAGCTAGAAAAAGAGAAGAAAAATAATCAGATGCACTCCCTTGTGGCTATTAATGTCTACACATTTTCTGTGTATAATTACTAATGTTCACTACTTCTAATAAAAGGGAAAATATATGTATACTAATTACTCAGTTTCAGGAAGATCTTAATTTATTAGTCCTATTCTAGGCCCATGGATTCACATCTATTATATTCTATATTGAAGGGAACAGGATTTGAGGTTATAGTCACAAGCTATGACAATATTTCAAGCCATTCCCTGCCAGTTAATAGATATCACAAATATTTTAAATTATCACAAGTATTCTTGAATGCAAAGGGAATAAACCAAGTAAGCAGAGAAATGAGATGGTAGAATCCATAATGTCATTTTAGTGTGTAGAGAGAATCACATTTTATTGCCTATAAATTTACCACCCATAAATTGAAATGTGACATTGTAAAATATGGGTTAGAACAATTTTATTTTTACTTTGTTTTTAAATTTGCACTTTTAACATTGAATGATTTTTATGGAATCCCCTGTCATTTCTCTCTGTCTCTCTCTCTCCTGCAGTGTGAAATTCAACATATTGTGTTGTTTTTGTAGCCCAGTCTTTCACAACTGTGGCTTCCAGGCCAGCACAGTTATACTGGACTGCGATTACCAGAATGGTAAGCAAAAATGCTGTTATAGAATTCTGGGAATTGTAACATCTACATGTTTGGAAATTATTGAAGTGAGAAAGGTTGATGACTGTATACATAGGTAAAACCAACTAAGGATTCAAATAGCAAATTGTGTAAAGTATCCATAATAGGTTAAGGTACACAATGAGTTGTATAAATAACTTCTCTGATGAATACATTCTCCTAGAAAATTTCTCCAGGGCTAATTTTTCCTCCAGAGAAATTCAAGATCAGAAGTAATATTAATTGTCAGAAGGGAAAATGACAAGGAAGATACATCAGTGAGACCAGTATCCAGTTATTCTCACCATAGTTCCCATTCTTTTTTAGACATTTTGCATGACCTGTGAGATTTATGATACTCTAGGACCTTCTACCCTGAACCACTAGATGAGCAGGCTAGGACTGAAGAAGATACAATTACAGCAAAGTCAGAAGAATTAAGAATCTATGGCCCTCTAATATTGATTTATTGACAACTCTCATCAACATTAACTAAAATGATTAATGGTTATAGTTTTGAGCTCTTTTTTTCTTTTTATAATATACTGTATAAAATCACCATGCTAATTTAGAGTCAAGTATTGAATACTGGAAGTAAAAAAAAATGGTGTTAATTTTCTGATTTGGACAATTTTGGAATACAGGTATACAGTACTATTTTAGGATTTACAGTAAGTATACTAAAACTCAATTTTAAAAACTGAGAAAGGCAGTGATATAGGAAAATTGGATGGAAGCGTGGTTATGGACTTTGAACCAACTGGTAGATGATAAAGATAAATGTTTAACATGCTTTGTCTTAACATATAAATATCAACCACCAGATATAACTCACTGACAATACTTACAATTACATAATTTGTTAACAAGACTATTTAGACTAGCAGCATTTTAAGACACCTGAGATACTAGAACACTTGTTAAATCCTTTAAAATTAAAACACCTATGATCAGTTTATATAGATATTTGTTATCTCATTAAAAGTTGTATAAATTTGATATGCAGATGTTAAGAAATGAGTAAAATGAAGAATTAGAGGTTCTTAAAGAATGGGAGAGTATGTTAATTTCTATAGCAAGAGTGTCAATGGATCTCAAATTACAATTTGTACAGTAAAAAGTAATACTTAAAATTGATTGGCTCCATTAGATTTGTATATAAAAAGGACTGTCAAAAACAGCATTTTGTTGGAGATGTAATAAGGATAATGATTCTTTAAAACAGGTTTCTACAATGTCCTAATTTGAGGTGAAAACATTTTTGAGAGAAAGTTATGAACAATATAAATACAATTATGCAACAAAAGCTAACATTTTCAGATGATAATATTTGAATTATATACCCAGTAAATGGAATTTGATAATTGGACTACTTAAAAGGATTCTCTGTGCTCTTTCTATGGCTAGAAGTCTGATATTTCAGCATTAGAAAGATACGTGACTGGCGCCATTTATTCAATGGCTTAAAGAGCTGGTTGGCCTTGACACTTATGAGCACGTTGCCGACTTTGTATAGACAAATATAATGAAATATGGTACTCATTTATACAGACTAAGATGGTTGTGTAAATGTATTAGAAATATGTATGTACTTAAATAATATTTGCATTAAGCAAGTATATATAGAATTGTAACCGTTTAGTTACAATTAGAAAAAAATGTCATATTGGTTTTTATTGTTATATTTCTTTTATATTTCTTACATTTTTATGTTTTTTCCTCTTTGACTATGTATGTATCATCATCACTATCATTTTTGTGTTTTGCTCTCTATTGCTGTTATTAAAAAGTAATAAAACAATTACTTAAATAAACAAAGTTCGTTTTTGACTCAATATGTTTCCTCTACACATCATCCCTGGAACAATAACTGGATGTCATAACTTATTCTTAAATATGTAGTCCAGAGTATTTTATACAGCATTCATTTTTACAATTATTCTATAACACGTCCCTTATTTCCATTTTATAGATAGTAACCTGAAATTGAGATATAGTAAGACCGAAGGCACAGCAACAAATTCCCAATACAGGGACCCATGCTTTTCGAATCTAGTACCAAAATTCATGCAGTATTCATTTTTACAATTACTCTATAACACGTCCCTTATTTCCATTTTGTAGATCGAAGCCTGAAATTGAGATATAGTAAGACTGGCTGGAGAATTCTGAGAGTTGAAGTTCACAAGTCTTAAAGCTGCCAAGTTTGAAGACCTCTGGACTAAAGGAACAGCAGCAAATTCCCATGATAAGGACCCGTGTCTTTCAAATACAGTACCAGAGTCCAAGTAGGCTAGCCAATGAGTATCTCTTTGACTGATTTCTACACGCGCTTCCAAAAGCTCCGATTATATCCAGTCCCTTTCTATCTAAACCACTTATCACAAGACATAGAATCTATGATGCTCCAGAATCATAGATTTGCTGACCACCAGCTGCCAATATCCTTCACAGTTTGTTATGCCAGTTGAGGTTTCTCTGAAAAATGGCTCAGCAACATAATGGAGAACCATCACAGCTTCTTCTCCGAGATCTGAACTGTAAAATCTTAGAAGGGAATCCGATTAATGCTCTCTTAACTCCCTGGACCCATAGCTGAGCTGGAAATAGGTTTCCCTATATCAGAGTGGGACAACCTGGTGTCCTCCAGATATTTGAGGCTAAAATGCCTCTCTCTTGCCCCTGGCCATGCTGCCTGAATAGAAAGAAAATTCAAAACTTCTGTAAGGCACCAGGTTGCCATGTCAGCCTTAGGAGGAAAATATGGCATTTGCTTCCAGCCTCTATGCTTCTTTGGTACCTCTTTCCATTGTTGTAGCTTGTATTCCTCAGCCTGCTTCTTTCTGCCTGGCTGATTCTGGATGCAAGTGGTAACTGGAAGTTTCCTCTTCACCCTGTTTATTTCTGGAGAACTGTTTTTTATTTAGGATGCTTATGTTGGTTTGTTTTCTTGGCACTTCGTCTCTGGCCAGGCTGATTGGTTATTAACCAAAGCCCTCTGGTAATTCATTGGATGCTGAAGGTGCTGTGGGTGTGGCTCTGCAAAACCACAAAAATGAGAAGGGAATATTCAGTGCAAAGGATATGACTGGAAGGGTGGAGATAATCCATATGGAGCATGTGAAGGCTGAGCTGGTCTTTTGGAACTATGTGGGCAGAGACAAGGAAAACAGAGAACCTAGGGGGAGATGGGAAAAGCACAGGAATGGATCCAAATAGAATAGGAAAAATTATTAAATGTATATGCCCCCAAGAGTTGCTGGGAATCCGTCAGCATATAAATTTAGTATATTAGCATGATCTAGGATCTAAAACAAATAATTTTCTCTGCCAAACTTATTTGATGAAAATAAGTACAATTGTAGAGCTTCCACTCCTAGCACACCTGATTTTAAAATATTGCAAAAGTTTTAATATTTAAAAGATTGAGAAATGAAATATTTGCACTGTGGGCTAGGTAGCCTCCCTAAGCAGTGCAATAGTGCCATGGGAATCCTCTCTTGCATCTTACTCTGCTGCTCAAAATTCCACTTTTCTCCTTCATCAGCCACAGGATGGCTGGTATTCTGGAGAAGACACTCTCTCTTCGTATGTGGAGTCCTTGTTTGCTTTGTTTTTTCCAGAAACTGGAGTGAGCCATAATCTTGACACACCAGGCTCCTATCATAATCCTGCACATGACACAGGAATTCTGACTACCCAACCACCACTATTATGTCTTCGCACCTCTGAAAATAATTACATCAAACAAAGATGCCATCTTTCAGTATATAATGAGAGTGTTTTAGACTTCATATCCTTGACCAGAGCTCTTAATTGAGCATCCTGTGCTAGAGGGAACAGGTAACACTGGAAAACCTTTGGTGACATTTAGTGATGCAGCTATATTAGCAGCCAGAAGAATCTGCGTTATGAGTCATTCAGTAACAAGGTCTTTGACTGCCTGTGACACTACCATCCAAGGCCAGCCGTAAATTGCAGCATCATGAGTTTCTGCCATAGACTAGATGATAAGGCAATTCAAATGGCCTTATTCTGCTATAGGCTACATACAGACATTACTTATTTATTTGTTAAATTTATACCTCTTTTCCATTACATTTTTATAGTGAATGGAGCATAAAAACCTGATCAGTGGAAAGATGATATATCTTAATTTAGACTGCAAGACTTAGATCTTAATAAAACAAAGATGAAAT